GCGCGTCCACGTCCGCCGGCACAAGGGCGTGAGGAAGTTTGAGTGCACCGAGTGCGGCTACAAGTTCACGCGGCAGGTGAGGCCTTCCCCGGTGCTGGGGACCCCCGTGGAATGCGCTGTGCTGGGGGAGCCAGCCGCCACCGGGCCCCTCTTCCTTTTGCAGGCTCACTTGAGGCGCCACATGGAGATTCATGACCGGGTGGAGAATTACAACCCCCGGCAGCGGAAGCTGCGGAACCTGATCATCGAGGACGAGAAGGCCGTGGTGGTGGCACTGCAGCCGCCTCCGGCGCTGGAGGTGGGCTCGGCCGAGGCGATTTTCGTGGAGTCCCTGTCCCGTGGCTCCCTGCCCGAGGAGATCCCCGTGCAGAGACTCTGCTCAAACGAGAACTTCTCTACATCGGATGTGATTGAGCAATCACTAATTATAACGACGACAATTCCTGAAGACTGTGAAACATAGCGCGACTGCCTGCGCCCATCCTTCCTACCAAAACACAATAAAGCGTTAGGCTGGAGCCGCGCTCTGCCATGCTTGTTCTTTTTGAGTTCTGCACCTGCCCCTTCCCCTCCTTCCCCGCAAAGCTCCCGCCCCAGGTTGCAGGGAAATGAAGTTATAATGAAGTTCTAATTGAGTCTCAAATGAAGAAACAAAGGTGAAGCTACTCAGAATGCCTACTTAAATAAATGTACGTATGCTGTACGAGGCGGGCTGTGACTGAGGACTCTGTGTGTGTGTAATACTGCCAACTGCTTTTTAACGAGCTCTCTTTTGCGGCCTGGGGGACTGCTGGCGCTTGCCTTCAGCGCTCTCACCTTCCCTTTGAGTCTGAAAGCTCGTGATTAAAGCTTACCTTCCCCAAGAGAGTATGGCTCTGCCCCTTTCCTTAAAGGCTTGCCGAGAGGATTGCCTCCTCTGTTAAATTAGTGCCTTATTTCTACTTTGTTTTGTCAAGCTTCTGCTAATTGCTCTTTCTTTACCACATTAAAGGCAGGGCATGACTTGTATCTTCTCACCATTGAGATAATTTAGCTCTTACTTAACTTACTGGTCCATGCTCGGAGTTCCTGTTTTTAGCTGTAGGGATTTATATTGGTCTGAAATAACAGGACCCAGGGTTGCTCTGACATTAAGAATCGTTTCCCCGAGTATTCCCGGGGTGGGGGAAGATCACCAAATGTACCCACACGCCCCGAAATCGCAGCCGTGCTCTTCCCCTTTCCCTCTCTTACTCGTCAAGAAGGCAGAAGGTCTCTGGTTTAAGGGTACTTCAGGCCTAGAATGAGAAATGTCGCAGTAAAAACTTACTCCGGCAATCTTCCCCTCAAAGACGACAGAGAGATTCATGTAACATGTTTTATTTAACTTGACCGCTGCAAGTAAATTTAAAAACAAACTATGAGAATAAAAATACATTATCTGTAAATGTAAAATGCCTTTGTTTCAAAGGATGGTATTTAAACTGTACTCAAAGATTCGGACACAATGAATTTTACAAAAAATAAATACAGATCTGCAACTGTTCAGCCGGTTGGGGAATTTGGGGGTGGCAGGTCCAGCAGCGAGCACTACAGCATGAGACGGAGCACGTGTACTATTTATAGTTCAGCATAAATACTTCGGTCTGCAACACGAGTTCAGCTGCGCAGTGCCACGCCGTCTCTCCCCAGGCATGACACGGCACCGTGGGGACGGGCTGCTTTGTCCTCCTGGGTCGGCGGGACGCGGCCATTACTGCCAGAAACAAAGGAGCCACCCCGAATTGCAGCCCCCCTGCGCATCCCCCCCTGCCTACCTCCTTCACCCAAGGGGGTCCCACCGCACCGCAGCAGCGCCGGGGAGGTTTTTAAACCAAGAGGCTGCCACGGCCGGGTGAGGCCACGATCCTCCGCCAGCGCGTGGCGGTTTCAAGGCACTGTCAAAGTTTCAGACTTGGAGAACAGCTCAGATTTCACAAACGGCTTTCCCAAGTTCCACAGCTGAGGAGCGTGCCATAAAATAGCATTCAAGGCAAAAACAGATTTATTTTTTTTTTTTAAAGCTGTGAAGGTGCTGATGTTGTGGAGATGGGGCTCCGACACTGCTCTTACCCAAGGGCGAGCCAGAAGGCGTGCAATCAAGTATACAGGCTTTTCATCTCTGAATTAAGTTTAAATGAAAATTATTTTTTTTTTCTCTTGGTTAAAAACAAAAGACTGAAAAAGCAAATGCATCCAGCCAACGCTTCAGCCGTTGTCACACTTTACAGTTTTCCCAAAGGTGCAATGCTCGTTTTTGGGTGAGCTGTACCGTGGTTTTAGCTGTTTGCTTGTTCAAGAAACATTCCATGAGTAAACTGCACGCAGCGTCTCTTCAGCTAAGGTAGACAGAGGAAACACAGCCCAAGCCAGCTAAGTCACTTGGGCAAGTATAAAGGCAAATCTTACACAGGCCAAAAAAAACAGCAAACCCCAAACAAAAAGAAGAAGAAAAAAAAAAACAACCCACCCTAAAATAACTACTTTTGAATCCACAGCACTCTGGCTAACTCCTACACCTTCGCCAAAACACCTCAGCGGCATTTTCCAATTGCCCAAATCCCAAGAGCTCCTGCAACTCGGAGGCGTGACAGGCACGAGCCCTCTCTGAAGGTCCGCTGGGTTCCTTCGGACAAGGTGATGCATTTGAAAGCAATTCTGCAGCAAGGTATCTAAACACCGCCAGTAATTCTGCAAGCCTGTGGTGAATCTCCTGAGAAAGCTGCGCTCACCTTTCCCAGTGTTTTAAGTGTTGGGGTTTTTTTTTCTCCAAAATAGTACAACGCCAACTTCGCTCCTTTAAAATGGTGAAGAAATAAAAACTCGCCCTTGCTGCACAGGGCCTTTCTGCCCAACGCAGTGTGCTGGCCGAGAGCTCAGCACAGGAGAAGTGACAGCAAACAGCCCTTGCCACAAGAAGTGGCTTTTTCTGCCTAGTTCAGCACCACTATCGACAGGCCCTGGCACACCGGGAAGGGAGATCGGCTCCTCCCCGAGGGCGGCAGCAGGCCGCCCCAGGAGTGGCTCCTCGGGCCAGCTAAGAGGGGTACTTGCTTCTCCCCTTCCCCTTAAAGGAGGGTGCAGCCAGGGTGATCAGAAATGAAAACAAATCTAATTGGTGAGAATGCAATTAAAAGATAAATAAGGGTGGTTCTTCTTGGAAGGAAAAAACGCGCTCTGCTAGGAAGGGCTGGAAAACAAATACCTGCAGAAGGTAAAATGCTGCAACTTAAAAAAAAAAAAACCTAAAACCTCACCAAAATACAGGAAGAACTGGAGTTCAGACAAAAGGAAAGGTGAAGCTTCATAACCCCAACTCAGCAGGTCCCTGCTACAGGACAGCTGTTCTTTCTGAAGGCATGAAGGGGAACCGAGGACCACGGCGAGAGGGCAGGAAAGGCCACGTTCTCAGATTAACCTCTCACCGCTACAGACCTCCAGCTTTTTCTGGGAAGGCCTTTCCCCTCCTCTAACCACGAGGAGGAAGACGTGCACAGGAAATCTGTCTTCCTCCGAGGCACAGAACAGAGGTGGGCATCCAGACCACCATCCTACCAGGTAGACCCCTCCCAAAAAAGAAACTGAAGAAAGGAGTTTGGTGGCAAATGAAGGGTTACAGGGTGAAGGAGCTCCCAGTGAAAGGTGTCTGCCCAAAAGCCGTAAGTTGCGATGCTGCGGTGACATTCAATACGATTGCTTTCCTCAGAGTTAGACTCTTGGGTCTCCTCTGCGGGCAGCACGGTGCCTTCTCCCAGCCCAGAGAAGGGCCGAGGGACTCCGCAGCGGAGGCCTCGCTGTCTGCCGGCTGCGGTTCCACAACAGCACGTCAAACATTCAGAGTTTTCACTCCCTCTATGATCAGTACGTTTTTGTTTCCAAGCACCAGTTTGCCTCTGCCTTCTCTCAAAGAAACACAGGTTCTGGATAATGAACTCTCATCGAGCCACCAGGACAGCACTTTCCCTTGCTAACGAAGTTCATTAAGGTTCTGATCGTGAAGGTTTTGGCGCTGCCTGTTCAAATTGATGGTGTTGTCCAGCGTGATGCCGTCATCCTCCTGCGTAGTTTCTGGCATGAACTGCCGGAATATGCTGACGCTGCCGTGCCAGAAGATGGGCTCGGGGAGTCGGCCCACCACGCTCCACGTTCGCGTCTCAGGGTCGTAGGCTTCCAGGACATCTGAGAGTTCAAACGTGTTATCGTAGCCACCGGAGACATAGAGCTTCCCACCGAGCACGGCCACGCTCCCCCCAACGTGAACCTACAATTTAAAAATAAATATACACAACAATTAGAAAGGAGGGTTTTGCCCGATTAGGCAGACGATAAAGGTGTCAGGTACTGTCCTGCAACTGCTCGCTTGGGGACAGGGCTCAGCACCCTCCAGCTGCTCGACTCTGGCTCTGAACCAGCGCTGCCCAAACACCGGGAGGAGACAAGAGTTTTGGAGCTTCACCCAGCTCTTGTGTGCTGGGCTCAACACCCAGCTGTGCAATCCCAGTCCAGGATTTTTTCTTCCAGGTGACTGTGAGAGGCTTAAATGCACTCCACATGCAAGGGGTTATAATCTAAAGAGCACTTGGTTTTTCCAAAGGTAAATTAAGCCAATTTTTAACACTAACAGACATCCAGTAGGTCAGTAAGCATCTTACCTGAAGCATGGCAGGGATTTTATCCCATTCATTCTTCGCTGGATTGTAAACATCCACTTCAGCCGAGTCATCTCTGTGGGAGGTAACACAAAATTAGTCTCCTGCATCCTACAAACCTCCCACTTTGCGAAGCCCCCAGTCCAACAGCTTGAAATGCCGCCGGGAGCACTTCTGCTCCAATCCCGCTACGTATATTGGAGAGCAAAGGGTTCCTGTATGAAGGCACAGGTCTCGATGCAGACCCCAGCCTCCAGCATGGGCTTCTCCTGCACCAGCAGTGACATTCAACCCCAGAAAACGCCCAGACCTCTCTACTTGCTGCACCCCTACCCATGAAGCAGGCCGGCACAGACACTGTGCCCGTACCACACAGTAGCACAGGAGCGTGTCTCTCGTTCTCAGTGCCACTGACCTACATCCAAAGAGCCCGAATGCCCCTTCTGAGCTTCTCTACAGGCAAAGCAACGCGCTCTATACTTTCTGATGTATGCTGAGTTTTAGGACGCTGCCTAGGAGGGAAGGCAGCCAAGATGACCGGAGACAGAGCAAGCCGAGAAGGTGTGCTGTTTTCAGCCTCCCGAGACGGTGGGGTGAGCTGCTCTGGACGCTGCCCCACTCAGAGTCCAGCACACAGCTGTGCCACTGCCAGGTCGGAAATTGCTGTGCAATCCTGAGTGGCTTTCTCAAATTTAGTCTTTTTTTTTTTTTTTTTTTTTTTAATGTCTGCATCTACAGTAGATGTGTTCACAGACTAACTTTCTGCAAGTTCACATTTCACAGACCGATCTGGCTTTGCTGCCAAGTGCTTCAGGGTCTGGAAGAAAAAGGACTGCTGTTCTGGAGAGGCTTAAACCTTCATGCACTTCAAAGTAACGGCGTCCCTACTGCTTGAGTTTTTTGCCAATGCCAAATTTAGATGGGCCAGAGGACTGTGAGAGAAGAGCTGGCAGGGGCAGCGTAATCCCCCAAGGTTTCTCTCACCCACTCCACTCACAAGATGGGAGGGTGACAGTGACAGGTGAGGGATGTTTACGACGCAGAAATGCGTGCCACTGACACAAGAATGCGAAGAGGACAAGGTCAGGGCAGCCGGAGAAGTGCTGTCAGTCCCTGCAAGACAGTTCTGTTACAGACGGATTCAAAAAGCCGCAAGGAATATTTTATTGTCTTTGTATCTGTCGTGACATCGTGGATTGCCATGCATTGTGCCGGTGACGAGGTATCGCTATGGATTGCTGGCATGAAGTTGAGCAGGGGACGGAGTGAAAATAAGCGAGAAATCTCACCTACAACAGGAGTGTCTAGCAAACCATTACATCAGAAGTCTGTCTGCTGAGCCTGCGGCAAAGCCGACGTGCGTGCCACTGAACTTTCTGGTTGCACTCTGGACAAGAATTCCTAAGGTACCCACACGATACACACTTTAAAACCAGTTTCTTTCATTTGAGTTACTTTTGCGAACTGAACTGATATTCATCTGAATGAAACATCTTTAACGCAGGCACATCTAAGCGAGCACTCCAAGCCCCACGGAGCTGCACTAAGACCAACTTTTCTTCCTCCGAACCAAGAGCAGGTACCTGCCTTGGGACACTTAAAACGCTGCTGCCAAGCTGTTTGTACCTGGAAGAACTGCTGCTGTTCACAACGCTTCCCGTAACTAACAGCGGCAGGCGAATCAAATACTTCCAAGTATGAAGCTGAAAACCTCGATGGACTGGAAGGGAAACGAGGGGCAAAGCCAGCTCCCGGCACCGGTGACACTCAGGCCAGGACCTCCTCTCCCCTCTCAGGGTTAGCTCTAAGAAGGACGCAGCTGAAGACCCAAGCCTCACTGCTATGCTGTATTTATAGTTACAAAACCAGTCGCACTCGAGGGGATCATCAGTCAGAAGCCTGAGTGTGAGCTATTAAAACCAAGCAAAAAATGAGTTTGTGACTTTTATTCGTAATTTATTCCTCTGTCCTCCAAAGACTATCTTACAGCTTTATACCGAGCAGCAGTCCACATGCAGCACGTGAAATGAGGGCAGAAGACCCTGACCCTGATAATCTCCTCATTAACTCCTGCAGATGCCTAAGTGATCAGAAATCCTGAAGTGTCAATCACCAGTATTTTAAAATGGATAAGAAAAAGGAAACGCGATAGAATCAGCTCGTGACAAGCAGCAGAATAGCCAGAACATCCCTGCCAGTATTTACTGAAAACCAGGTGACTCAATCTGCTATCTGCAAACAACTGCCAGGAACCAAGACACCCGACCGAACCCAAATGAATCAAATAAAAGGTCTTGGGTAGAAGTTGCTGCTTTATGCAAAGCCAAGAGGAGATTAAAAAAAGAAAAGTGTCTGGAGGCCGTCACAGAAGTCTATGTTTGCCCAAAGTCAACACAAGATGAAATGCCTCAGTGCTAGCATGCCTTTCAGTTTATTTTTAATTAAGTGGATAACTGAAGTATTTGCGCCACCAGGACAGCTTCGGATGGGTAATTAAGTCCCAATTTGGAAAGGCGCTTAAAAATAGTGACCAATCATTTAATCTTCAGTCCTCTTATCTCTGCTGAGATGGAAGATGTCCTCTCCTGCGCTACAGCTTAATGTCTTCTTGGAGCTTACTCACTTATTTATAGCGACAAGGGGGGTTGAACCAGAAGCCAAGAAAACAGAGAAGTCTATTTCCAAGCAGCGCTGCTGACAGCCAGATTTATACCTGGCTATTCTCCAGCCCGTGGGTTTAGATTCAGACATTTTTACACAATTTTAAGCGTGGTTCTTTAAGGCCTAACTACAACAGAAGTGAGGGCAAGAGGCGTGATGGTTTAGAGACCCACCTGCGCCATCAGAGGAAGCACCGCCGTGCTTTCCCAACGCAGTGCTCTCCTACCACCGCCCACAAAATCCGCACGCCTTCCCAGGAAAACCTTGGGCTTGCCCAGCGGGGACGTGGGGAGGGAAGTTATCGCTCCCGCTACTCACCTTATGAAGTACATGAGGCCGTTGAGAGTGACGGTCTTTGGGGCAAAGGACCATGGAGGCAGGTGACCACAGTTCACGAGGGACCAGAGGTCACTGTCAGGGTCGTAGCACTGCATAACCATGGACTCTTTACCAGCCAGGGAGCCGATGGCGAACAGCTTGCCGCGACACGACGTGGTGGAGCAGTTGTCCATGGGGTACAGCATGGGCTGCAGAGCCTCCCAGCTGTCCACCGAGTGGTCATAGCGCTCCGTGCTGTCGGAGGCAATCACGTACAGCAGCCCGTCCAGGACTGTGGAGCTGTGGTATTCTCTGGCTTTCAGCATGGGAGACACCTCCGTCCACTCGTTCACGCTGGAATTGTACCTCCAGACACAGTCGTAGAGCCTCGACCCGTCCGATCCCCCTGCGGCACAGCACGCCACATTTCAAAGTGTGGTTTTGCAAAGGGAAGTACTATGGGGCAACGGAGGAGAGGGCTTGGCTCAGGACTGGGCTCTTTGTTATGTCTTCCAGCTACACCTTCTTAATACCCACCCCCCAGCTTTTCTGCTCCCCAGGGCTGTACATTATGAAAATATTTCAGTACTAGGGGACCAGTCACGTGCACTGTGAGGATTTTAATAGAACTTCTGCACTGGTCCTTTCCGAGCAAGCCAGGAAGGATTTCTCCCATTTCTCCCATTCCTAGTCCATACTCAGCCACGACTCAAAATGACTCCCAGGTTCGACTACCTCCATCCTTCTAAATAACCATTTTCTCTCCCATTTTGTGAGCCCCACTCTGTTGCTATCTGGAAGCTGCTGCAATGTAGCGGAGACTAACACGCACCAGTGCCTGGCTGCCAAGGCAGCGTTGCTGCCGGCAGCACAGAAGCCTTCGGAAGCCTTCTGACCCTCCCTGCTGCCTGTGCTACAATGCTGACACTAAGCAGAACGACCTAAAATCCCCACCAGCAGCAGCCTTGCCCGAAGCACAGAGCTCCCAGCACTATCAGCACCCCCAGCACCACCTGAGATTGCTCTGGAAAGCTCCCACGGGATGTAAGGGCATCCATACAAACGAGCTGTGTGGTAGCCCATCATTTTTACAACCCCGCCCTTAAAGCAGAGCCTTGTTTTCTGCTCATGACTAAAGAACGAACAGTTTTCTGTTCACCTGCACTTGACCTGCCCTTCAAATCTTTGTCAGCGCGTCCTGCACACCCAGAGCAAGCTGCTCCACAGAGCCTAAGTTTCCCAGGCCTTGGTTTATTACAGCTGCCACAGGGCTGCTGCTCCAGCTACGGGGATGTAGTTCAAAGGAGGCCAGATTAACAGCCAAATTTACACATCCGTGTCACCTTGACAGAAGTAATTATAGCCCCAGCGGACTGTGAAGAGGCAGGATTCGTGCTGGGGAAGGTACCGTGACTCAAAGGTGCTGGCTGGCTGAGGAACCCAGGGCTTTCTGACACGCCTCTGCCTTGAGCACGCGCTTGGCTTGTGATTCACGGGGCTCTGAACCCAAACACCTTCTTTGCAGACAGAAATTCAAAACACTCTCCAGTCACTCCTGTCCCCTAGAGTGACTCGTTAGAAAGTTCTACCAGTACAAGATCTGTGACTTCTGCCCGCATGCTCAGGAGCATTAGTCATGACAAAATACTCCTGGACTGAGACCAGCTGCTAAATCCAGCACCGACGCCAGGAGTCCCTATGCCTGCAGTCATACTGAGCCCAAGCAGAGTTTCAAACTCTGCTACTCCAAGAAAAGCCAAGTCTCGCTGCTAGAACCCACGTCTTTTCAATGGAAATCACAACACTGGTGCTTTTGTGCCCTGCACACCTTACCGGTGACATAGATGTCATTGCCCAGTGCAGCAACGCTGTAGCCCCCACCCAGGTGCTCAGGGAACTCAGCCAGGTAGCGCCAGTGGCCGGTGCGCGGGTTGTAGCAGTCGACAGTGACGAGCTCGTCGCAATCGCGGTCACAGCCGCCGACGAGGACAAGGATCTCGGCGAGGCCGGTGGAGGGTCGGGGTCGCATGCGGGCGCAGGGCCCCCGGT